GTACCTCAGTAGGATCGGAAGTGCCAGTTCTCTGCTCAAACCTGGCTGGTGAAGTAATGCATCTTGAAGTGGTTGGGGCAGCTACCCAGAACATCCCATGTCAATTTGGTGTTGCTCATGTTCCTAGTGTTTCGGGATTTCACTGGAGTTGTGGGGCCTTGCAACTGGGAGCAATCCCGATCACTGTGCAGAGTGAAATGTAGCTGCCAATCATGAAAAAAAGGGGGATGTGTTCAATTCTTAGCAGGAGACATGCATGTAAATTCTGTAGCCTAAGGATTTCCAAGGTTAAAAAAATGGGGCTTTTTTTTTGAGAACCAACAAGCCGTTTGATATTTTTTCTAAATTCTACTGGGGAGATAGCCAACCAAACATCTGGAGACACGAAAAAACCCACATTTCAGCAGGGAAAACCATGGAGAATACCATGGTTTTCAGCAGCAAACACGCAGAGACAAGACATCCTATATTCCGAAATGCGGTGATGACTTGTCCACACGGCAATTTGGGACATGTGTGATCATGTTGACTGAACAAATCCAACCACATTTAGCACGAAACATCTGGAATCTTGAATGGGAACACGTTAATGTGGTAAACCCAATGCCGAAAACCACAAAAAAAATCAAAAAAACACCCCAGGCCCCAATACGGGTTCACAAAAAAAACCACCATCCCAGTAAGCCCTCAGTAAGCATTGATGCAACCCCCTGGTCCAATTAAAACAAACATCAACAAACTATATCAAACCATCATCTGCTTGGGAAAACTCTGCCCGACATGGCTGGCTCCACCGCAACTGAGATGTCTGGCCAATTCGTCCCATGGCTCTGGGCCTCTTCGGCGAAGTAAGGCGAAGGGGGCTGGGTCTCCCAGGGATCTGGAAGAAAAATCATCGTACAAAGCCCATGAATGAAATGAAGGTAGACTCTCCATCATCTTTCATCATCTTTCATCATCTTTGTAGTTTGAGCATTGTTTGAGCATCTTCATCTTTTCATCGTCTGAAGCTTTTACACGTCTTTTGGACCCCAAAAACGCGTCCGGTTCCTACCCAGTATGGGTCAGCCGAGCAATCAAGGTTTGTCCTAACTCCGCAAAGACAGTTTCCACTGGTTTAATACATCAGTAAAAGAAATCAAGTCCCTCCCTTGTCGATATCCGGTTTACATATCTATAATATATATAGATATATCATATATTATACAATTAATTGTAATTATACAGATTATGTGGAGGTTTCCTGAAATGGAGGTACCCCTAAATCATCCTTTTCCATTCTTAACCACCCATTTTGGGGTACTGTACACATCTGTACACCAAATGCTGGGCTTCCGGAACATCTGTGGAGTCAGCTGAACAGCGGTGCCAAAGTCGCATAATTTGATGATGTATCCTAGCGGATTGACATAAACATATGCGTTTGGTACCTGAACATAGGAGATGAGATGCCTCGAAGCCAACTTTTCAGCAACTAAGCCATTTTTAACCTCGACTTGAAGCACCAACTTCAACCACTGACCCAGCATGGGATGATAAAAAATCGAACACCAAAAACCTTTCGTGTGAAAAAAAGATGTTGGGACCTCCACGCCTGGGTCGAAGTTGAAGACCCATGGAAAGTACCCAAAATACTATATATACCCTCTGGTTATGACTAACATAGCCATGGTATAGATGGCCCATAGAAATAGATGGTTTACCTGTTAAACATGGTGATTTTCCATGGCTATGTTAAATAACCAGAGGGTATATATACACCAGTGGGTGTAGTTTATAATATGACCAAAAAAACTGTGTGTAGATAAAAAAACAAAATACGGGCATATACCATGAAAAAAACAATCATGTACCAATTGCAATTGGTTATATACCATAGTACACCATAGTACACCATAGTACACCCATGTCACAGTGTTAAACCCCTCACTTTATCAACATTTCCATGGTTTATCCATATTGAATCGTATAAAACATGGTTGACATCACCATGTTTTCATGTTCGTACTATTTCGTACTCATCATTTCGCATCATTTGATACTACCAACCCGAAACACATTTGTCCTTCGGCAGTTCCCACATCGCCCAAAAGGAGGAAGTTCTCTGTCCTGAAGTCATGGGAAAAACAGGGGGTCATTTTGCATCTCCAAAAACTCTGAAAGGTTTTGAAGGAATTTTAAAAAAATGGGGAAAATGAGTTTCAGCACTTTTTGGGATTTTGGTGCGAAACAACTTAAAACCTCTTAAACCAACCCCAGTTGCAAGTGAGTTTGAAGCAAATGGTAACTGCCCCCAAATGTGATAGGCATTCTTCCGATGGTGTAAGGATAGAAGAAATCCTAAATAGAAAGAACATGTTTTGCATGATGTTGTACGGTTGTCTTTACCTCAAAGTTTCCATGTTATGAAGTTGCCAGAAGGATATTGGAAGGTACTCAAATATGCAGCATGTTTAAATATTTACAGGAAAAAACATCTTTGCCCACTGCCCCTTGGTCGGAAATCCGCAGCTTCGGTCCTACCATCATTTTTTTTCTTCCCCAAAACGCGCAGAAGCTGAGATTGCGGCTTGATGTCGCGATGCACGATTCGGACCTTGTGAAGGAAACTCACCTCAGGAAACCCCAGCTGCAACGGGCATCCGACCAAAACCTGCACAATTTGCATTCAACATAGAGATTGTACAATCTGATATTGTATGGTATTGTTGTAAGATCATTCTCCAAGCCAGGAATATTTAACAAACATGTTTAAAATCCATTGAGATTTGGGACCCTGAGGCCCTGAGGACCCGACGGCATCCAGCATCTGCCTGAAGTAGGTCCTCGCCTCCGGCCTCGATGACATGCCAGGAGGGTCCCGTTGTGGACACCAATTGGGCGGCATCCCAGTTGGTGTTCTAAGAACTATATGATGCCCCAGCTATACATCAAAAAATAAGCAGTTAGATTAGATTAGTGGCTTTTGTTTGGGTCAGAAACTAGTTACAATTCATGGGATGGGCATCCAAGTATCTAAGAAACTTCCAGATCCCTGGAGTATAAGATTGTTTATGAAAGGATTCCGAAGTCTTTTAGGTATGTTTCAGAGGTACATTCAAATCACCTTAATGTCAAGTTGTGATTAATAACACCCCCCAGAAGGTAGGTAGGTAGGGTGAAGGTTCTGCCAAGGTTTTCAATCCAAATAAACGACCTCCTAAGTCGAAGTCATAAGAGATCAACTTCCAATGGGAAACCGTCAGATTCCTAATTATAGGAGAAGATAAGGAAACCACTGGGGGAAGATGAGAAAAGAACTGGGAGACCATAAGATTCCTATGGGGGAAGATGATCATAGCTGTGTGCTGTGAAAAAAAAACATAATGAGCAGCATGGGGGGAAGAGTTGGGGACAGCAAGGCTTTATCAGCATCCGTGAGAGCATTAGTATTAGAAGAGTTGGTTTACTAGTTTTAGAAGAATTAGTATTCACAAACCACCATTTTTTTTGTCTTGGGGTTGATTAATCGGGTGATTCCCCCCGGTTGATTAATCAGGGGGGACCAACCCATTTTAGTATTGCCAACGCGTGTTTCCTGTGTGGGAGTTAATCCCTAGGGATTTTATAAAAAAATGTTAAATCCCATTAAATCACCATAAAAAAAACACCATAGAATCCCATGAAACTCCCATTCACATCGCATCAAAATCACCACGAAACCAAAAAATCGACGCTGGGATCCCAGAACTCCTCAAAGGCACCGCCCTCGTGGCGCCGCTTGTTGGCCTTCGGCAGTTACTATATATTGTTATTGTTACTGTTATTATCATTATCATTGTCATTGGTCTAATTAGTTGTTATAATAAGTATGGTGTGTATATATATATATATGTATACATTGATCACATAGCCATTACTATGTTTAGTATTATTATCATTGTCATTATCATTATTATTGTTATGTTTTTATCATTATTATTATTATGTATTATAAGTATTATTATCATTGTCATTGTTATTTGTGTTGTTGCGATCGGTGATATTATTATTATTATTACGATTGTCTTTGTTATTGTTATTGTTTATTGTTGTTCTGACGATCTTAATGATAACAACACTGTTCACAATCATAACAAAACACTAATTTATACGAGTGACAATAACGATAATATTGATAACACTAACATTGATAATATATACTAGATGATAATACTGGTAACAATGATACAACATGATATTTGTGTTTAACACACATTTGTTAACAGAATAATATATGTAGTCATTGCAGATTCTAATAGGGAGATATCAAACACCAAAGACTTGGGGTATGTGATCGTTTTGGCATCCCCAAAGGACAACTCACACGTGTCAGTAAAACAAAGTAGTGCTGCAAAACAACGCTGACTTCAAGAGGAGCATGGCTTGAGAATTGAGGTCAAAGGGATCATTTTGAGCCATCTATGACTGTGCCCCTTGATTGTTTTCTTGTGATTGTCTCCAGGCAAGGTTCCTAATCTCCCATACATCATTCATGATCGAGCCCTCAGCCGAAAAGCATAGGGACTCACATGATATCAAGATTCAAGCGTGTTCTCTCATCCCTCATTTTACTCTAGAAGGCCCAATGTCTTTTTGCAAGATAAAACACAAATAACGAAATACTGCAAATCACAATTATTCCAGTTCTGGGCATTCAATTCTTTACTGTCCAAAAAAAAAACACCTCTATGGACCGCCACCCTGAGGAGCCCCACCAGTGCAGCCACATACTCATAGAGCTCCCCACCTCGACATAGCTCCAACCTCCATGGCTGAAGGTTCACCAGCCCCCGAAGACTGAGGAAATCCATTGGCGATCAGCATCCCAAATCTGCTGGAAGAAACATGCTTCAAAGCACCAGATCATTGAATAGTTTCATTATATATATATATATATTATATACCAATTCTATCCCAATTTTGAATGGTTCTCTCCTAAAATTTACCATAGTTTCGGGACCAAAAAAACCATGCTCAGCTCAGAGCGTGGTGACCAGTAGCGGGACCTTCATCCACTGGGGCTGGCACACCACCCAAAGGGACTGGCGTTCTTCAAAGCATTCGTACATCTTCACGATGTGCGGATGTTCTAGCCTGAAGGTGGAGCCACGAACATATGAACACCGGATGAATATGATGAATCATCTAATCGCGGAGGTTTCTTGGGTGATTATCCTGATCGGGCATAAACTGAACGCATCACATGGGCAAGTTTTGGAAAACGCTTCTCTTGGACTGCCACTTCAGAAAGTCAAGTACACAGGTCGGGAACTCTTAGTTCTACCTCCCTCTATTTATCCATATGTATACATATATGCATATATATATATACATTAGATATAGATATATATATATATTGATATATTAATACACATATATGCTTATCGAATCTTATCGACTTATGGTGTCTTAGCATCTGATGCAACCCATCGATCCCGTGGCTTCCAACAACAGAACCGCCCTGTCCCGTAATAGAGAAACCCACGGTCCGAAACAAGAGGAGGAACATGTACAGCTAAAATTCATGTTGAGGAAATCCGCCATTTTTGGCATATTCCGCTGTATTATCCTGTATTCTGAAATTTTCCCAGAACCACAATAATAAATAATATGCATCAAACAATCCCCATTCTCGCACCTTGCCAGAATGGCACGTTCCTTCTCGAAACTCTCGCGCATGGCCTTTTCGCCCATGCCTCAACATCATCATTGAAACGTGGGCGGTCCACCACCTCCCTCGGCAGATGCATCATATGCGGTCAATTTCGATGCTGTACATCGTTTTGTTCATTGCTTTGTTGACATTTGTACATGGTTTGAAGTTTTCAGCCAACAATTTGGTTGCAAATCATGCGTGATTTCCCACAACCAAACACTTTGTTGGGAGAAAACATGACCTAATCAACCCAAAATCCAGCAACCCAACCAAAATGAATTTCGGTACATCCACACCGGAATTAAACCCCTTCAACCCGTTTGGTCCCGGCTCGGCCCGGCTGGGCTGGGCGCCTGAAGCATCACGCGCGCTGGCCTGTAGGGGCAATCGCTGGGTAGGCGGATCCACGGGTAGGTTCCTTCTGGACGCTTGGTTTTAGACTTGACACAAATATATATATACATACATACGTACATACATACATACATGCATGCATGCAAGCATGCATGCATGTATGCATACATACACACATACACACATACATACATACATACATACATTACATTACATTACATTACATTACATTACATTACATTACATTACATTACATTACATTACATACATACATTAATTACATACATACATACATACATACATCAATTACATACATACATCAATTACATACATACATACATACATACATACAAACATACATACATACACACATACATACATACATGCATGCATACATACATACATACATACATCAATTACATACATACATACATACATACATACATCAATTACATACATACATACATCAATTACATACATACATACATACATACATACATCAATTACATACATACATACATCAATTACATACATACATACATACATACATACATCAATTACATACATACATACATCAATTACATACATACATACATACATACATACATACATACATAATTGCATACATACATACATTCCATTACATTACATTACACCACATTACATTACATTGCATTACATTGCATTACATTGCAGTACATTACATTACCTACATACATACATACATTACTTACATACATACATACATACATACGTACGTACATACATACATACATACAAATATACATACCATACATACATTACATTACATTACATTACATTAGATTAGATTAGGTTAGATTAGATTAGATTAGATGCATTACATTACATTACATTGCATTACATTCCATTCCATTCTATTCCATTACATTACAAACATATATACATTACATACATTACATACATTACATACATTACATTCATTACATACATTACATACATTACATACATGCCATACATGACATACATGACATACATTACATACATTCCATGCAAAACATACATTACATACACTACATACATTACATACATTACATACATACCATACAAAACATACATAACATACATAACATACATAACATACAAAACATACAAAACATACATAACATACAAAACATACAAAACATACAAAACATACAAAACATACAAAACATACAAAACATACAGAACATACATAACAAACATAACATACATAACATACATAACATGCATAACATACATACATACATACATGCATGCATACATACATACATACATTAATTACATACATACATACATACATACATACATACATACATACATACATACATACATACACACATACATACATAAGATAACATAAGATAATATAAGGTAACATAAGATAACATAACATAATTAACATACATACATACATACATACATACATACATACGTACATACATACATACATACATGCATGCATGCATGCATACATACACACATACATAAGATAACAAAAAATAACAAAAGATAACATAAAATAACATAAGTCAACATAACATAACTAACATACATACATACATACATACACACAGACATACAGACATACAGACATACAAACATACAGACATACAGACATACAGACATACAGACACACATACATACAAACATACAGACATACACACATACATGCATACATTACATTACATTACATTACATTACATTACACTACGCCACGCTACATTACATTACATTGCATTGCATTGCATTGCATTGCATTGCGCTACATTACATACATACAAATTTAATGGAATTGCCATACGTACACACTTGCATGTTACATTTCACCACGTTGTGCTACATTGCATCATATTGCATCCCATTGCCCTAAATGAGTTCAACATGGGTTAAACTATGTAAATATATTTAGATATATTTAGACTGCATGGCGTTTGAAAACAATACCGTCCAATACAGTGCCTGCCAATATGCTGCATGTTAACTTGCAAATGCGCAGTGCAGGTATACTTGAAATGATCAGGAACCGTTTGGAAACCACGGTTGCCCTCTTCTGACCCATAACGATAGATGCGGTTCCGAGTGAACACGAAGGATGAACCAAATGACTATCTGTTTGCAGAGTGTTGGCGCTAGCACCAGGGTAAAATCCAGGTAGTGGTGTTCGAAAATCGCGAAGAATTGAAAAACACAGACAGGGATCATCAACCATATGAACTATTAAATTTCACGAGCTCCTGGGATTTTGTGATTTTTAGGGAATATTGGATATCAAGGTCAAGATGCAATATTTGGATATATTTGGTGCAGTGTACGCGCACAAGGGTCGCACGAAAAAACTTAAGCGTCATGGTTTGCACGGGTTTGCACTGGATCAGCCTTCCATAAATGGAATTGGTCCAATTAATCGTTCAGAAAAAATGAAACGGTCGCAAACGGTCGGAAACGGTCGGAAACGGTCGGAAACATGATCAGGCCAAAACTTGTCCAACCCGCATTTCTTAAGAAAAAACATTTCCGCGCAACGCAGTTTTTTTTTTGAAGGTCCAAAGGTGTCCAAGGGGAAACGGTTGGAAACAGTCGGAGATCGCACCTTCGCTCGGCAACATTTCCGACCGTTTCCGACCGTTTCCGACCGTTTCATTTTTTCTGAACGATTAATTGGACCAATTCCATTTATGGAAGGCTGATCCAGTGCAAACCCGTGCAAACCATGACGCTTAAGTTTTTTGGTGCCACCCTTGTGCGCGTACACTGCACCAAATATTGCATCTTGACCTTGATATCCAATATTCCCTAAAAATCACAAAATCCCAGGAGCTCGTGAAATTTAATAATATGATCCAGAATTCATCTCTCTATAAGATGAGGCCATATTAAATGGATGGTTAAATCATGATGGATGCCAATTACGGAAAATTTGCTCGGTGCATTGAAACACTTGTGAACACCTCGCTGCATTTGACTGTGTTTTTGGGTTATTTTGGTTTCATGGTCTCAGTTTTGTTTTGGGCGGTTGCCGCCCAGTAAAGCTTTGTAAAAGTGAAGTGCTAAGAGCAGGCAAACGGCAGAACCAATGTTGTGCGAACCGGTTCCACCTTCATAATTGTTATGCAATTCTTGTGGCGGCACGCTTGATATGAACCACATAAGAACGGAATCCCAAAATGCCACTTTGCTTCGTCATCATCCAAGTAGAAAAAAATGTGAACCAATGCATTGCGCACAGGGCGTGAGAATCAAAATCGCCTCGGTCAAACTGCCCTTGTCTGGGTGTTTTGCCTAAACCGTTCCAGCACCCAAAACGGGCCTCGGCCAGCTTGAAGCACTTCACAGCCACTTGCCGGGGTCGTGAAGGCATAGAATTTCCAGATTGACCTTGCGCAAATTGCGGTATGTCAGCTCGAACGAGGTTATGGAGTGACAACTTTGTGGACCGGAGTGCACGGGGAGACATGTATTTCAAACATTGCAAGTTCAACATTGCGTGTAACTCCATATTTTCAACCCGCCACTTCAAGGCTGTCAACAGCGCAACGGAGGCCTGGCAACATTGTCTCCGCCTCGTATACGTGGCCGTAGGTGCCCTCTCCCACCTCAAAACATTGCTGAAAGATGCAGGCATCCAATGTTGTGTAGTGCTGTGGCATGGTGGCCAGGGCCATTGCGTTTCAAAAATCACTTCAAACATCTTCAAACATTTACCATAATTTACCAACCACATGTTAGGACTGTGGGCATTTTTTAGTTGCAAGTCCAAACGATGGCGCCACTACGCAACCTCATGCCCACAGAAGGAGCCCCCCAGCCTGACGCAGAATGCGATGGTGGTTGGCAAAGGTCGTCTTCAAGTGAGACGCAAAAACCTTGGGCTCAAAGCTGTGCCGCTGAGGGCGTTGACGTCTTGGACTTTGGGCAGTGTGGCTTTTGCTGCCTGCTCCCTTCAGTTCCCCCGCGGTCCCGTCAACTGCTTTTGCCAGCGCGAATGGTGCCATTGAGCGCCCAGCGCAAATATGAGATGACAACAGCCTACATAGTGTAACTTCCTCCGGCAACCGATGTGTGTTGGTAGGACGTGCCTGCACCTTTCCTGGTCTGTGGCAGCCGCAGCAGAGATATAGTTGCAATGTTTGCAATTGCGTCGTCAGACTCTAAGCATGGCGATCTCTGGGTTGTTAAAAAAGACTCCACGAGCAAAATAAGGTCGAGTCCCCAGGACCACCGGAATGTACTTATGCAGTTTAAACTCTCTGAGGAATTGGGATTGAATTCGTTTTTGAATGTAGATTGATTTTGTTCTTATACTTTGAATTACAACACATATATTATATTTTGATTTCAAATGGAATGGGGCTTTATTTGGTGGACAAGGACACCCCTACATTCAGGTGCCAGCCTGTTCCTGGACTCTGCCATGTTCAAAGAAAATCAGCTTCACAAAAGAACAGGCCTGAAATTCGCAAACAATCCGTTTTATTGAAGAAGGCTGGTTTGCATTTGTTCAGGTAGGCAATGATCCATAATATCAATGCCAGCGATTTGAAAACAAACCATCAACAGAAAGCTTACTGCAGGATGGGTACTGTATTGTTTTTATAATCAATGGCCATTTCAGGAACCTAAATTGGAGGTACCTACCATATATAAGGCCTATGTAAGGCCTATGTAAGGGAATATCCCCACAAAATATGGCCTTATATGGTACAGTACCTCCACTTTAGGATCCTGGAATTCCCATTGATATAATCATGTATAGTCCTATATTTTTCTGAGGTATACCTGGGGCCACCCAAAACACTGTAATCTCCCAAGTCTTCGTTCCGATGGTAATTGTGCTGGCTCCATGCTGACAGAAACAACAAGAAAGAAACACTATTGAGATATATTGAGATATCCTTGGGAATAAACCAAAAGGGGTTGGGGGTGTCTGATTTTATATGTTTCGGTAGAAATTCAGGATGAAGACCAGGCGCCTGTCGATCGACTTTCCAGTGTCGTATCCTACGTCACCGTCACCCGGAAAGCTTCCTAATTACATACAGTAGTTGCATAATGAAACTAAGTATAATTACATACAGTAGTAGTTCACAATCATATATTAATGTTGCATATAGTATAGTTGCACTGTTTTGCACAAACCATCATGAAGCATCATGAACTGGTATGTGATGGTAGGTGTTTTCCCTAATTAATGGGCACCCTTCGGCCTCAGGTGAATGCCCTACAGCTGACGAGCTCCCTAAGCCCAAGACTCCCAAGACTATGATGTCTTAGCACTTCGTGGTCAGCAATGTCTCAAACATCCCAGTTCGTGGTTTGTCAGCATGTCAAACATCCCAAAAATGAACACGTGCAACATTGACTGAAGTTCCCATGCACTTATCACACCTTTCAACATTATTCTTCTCATTTGATACACCGCTCTTTCAAAGACGTTTCAAAACTTATATAAATGGCTCCATCTTTTGGACACCCTTCAGCGACCTATCCCCTGGAACAGCAAATCTTAGAATAACCTGCTCCATTTTCAGGCGCCAACTGAAACATTTTCTTCCAACAGTGATGCAACACAGCAACCCCGCGACCATGTCATCACCGGCCTATGTCGTAACAGACAACCATCTGAAAGAAACTGTGGTTTGTACCATGTTTGTACCATGAACATCCATCAAAGATCGATTTCTTTTGTCACAATTTTCTGCAAGAGGTTTCTTGGGGCATCCCGTTTTGGTTCGCCAAGGTTTCAAGGTTTCGCACGCTGTAGCCAGCGGCTTGAACAAATGGTGTTTTCCAAAACAAATAGCATCCCACTGGTGATTGTTGCCCAAATATTCCAATCCCATCCAATATGTGTTTTTCTGTTTGTGCCATGAAATCCCGTGAGTGCTGAAACTTTCCCAACTGCTTTTGTCTGAAAATGGAGCACCAAATCTGATGCTTCATTGCTTCATCATTTTCCCTTTTTTTAAACCGTAATTTTAGGATAAAAACATATCATACTTACCCATGACGGATCCATGGTGCTGCTATATATGGTAACATGGATCCATCAATATACCCCATGTTAGCATATATACCGATATATACCATACATGGATCCTATGGGTACTTATATATATATATACTTGGACATTCCCAAAACTATCCACAACTGCTGAAATAGCTGCTGAACAAATCCCAGCATGGTCACTGCCGAGCAGCTCGTCGCCGGGCCATTGCCCAAGCACTTGCGGACAAGGACCGGGTGGCACGCCTCAGGAAATGGCGATTGAACCATCAAGAATGGTGGTATGATGATGTATATACCTCTGGTAAACTAACATAGCTATGGAAAATCTCCATTTTTAATGGGAAAATCCACGAACTAAATAGCCATGTTCAATAGCTATGTTAGTTTACAGTACCAGAGGGTAATGAGGATATCACTGTAATATTAGTGGTATAATATTAATGGTGGTATAATGGTGGTATAATGGTGGTATAATGGTGTAGAATGAGGATATGACTGGATGAATCATATGAAATATCAATGGTGGGATGTTGCTGGGGATGTTGCTGGGTGCCTTTTCATATAGGTATAATGATGTATAATGGGTAATCAAAGCTGAGGGCCGCTGGAAAGTCCCCCCGAGCTAGCCGTGGCGGTTTTTTTCGCTGGGAGAATCATTGAAATCAATGCGGACTTTCCAGCCATGTTTGAGATTACCGGAGGGAAACAACTAGCAAACACATGGATCAACATGATCGTTTATATATATATATTATCTATATTATATATATATATATCCTTTTATCATCCTTTATCAGATCCAAAAATTCAGCTTGAGATTTGCAGTTTTTTTTCGCAAATGAACTCGGCTTTTTTGTCGCTTCACATTGTCAAATGCCCAACTGGTTCTGTTTCACATTTATCATGGATTCGATCATTTGGCCATGACGGATTCATGGTGCGGGTATATGGCTGCTAACATAAAGGGAGTATATTGATGGGATCCATGTTACCATATATAGCAGCACTTAGGGTAATCCCCTTCTTCTGTTGCTGAACATCACCGTTGTCAAAGTTGGCCCACCATCAAATAATATCAAATTTAAATTTCAATATGGGATTCAATGGGGCTTTCGAAGATTCCCCCATATGGGGAAGTGGGTGTTGCTAGAATTATGAACCCATATTTCAATGAAATTGTGAAATAGACATCTGTTGCCAGCGTGTTGCAGATTATATTCATTAAACTACAACTAATAATTTTTGTAACTCCTATCAGATCCCGAATCTTACCGTTTTTTTACCGACAAAAGACCTTCAGCTTTTGGACTGATTTTGCATTGCACAAACCTGGCGGAGGTAACCCCTCATTCAGCAACTGCTGGGCGCACCATGATCCGATCTCAACGCCTTCAAGCTGCCTCAAAGCGGGAAACATGGTCCCATTTTTAGAAGGTTTAAAACCATGTAAACATTGCAACATTTCAATAAGGTTGATATGGGGTTTGGATTTATATTTCGGTTACTTACTTGTCTGTTTGTTTTATAACATTTTATAACCCTCAAATGGATCCAAATGACGGAAAATCGGTATGACATGCATGCGATGATTTAGTGGGTTTGCCGAATTTCTGTATGTCTGTTGCGCTCTGTTATTTTTTGTTACTCTTGTTGGATATTATATGTATTAGTGTCAATAGTCGTGACATAGTCTTACCTTCAACAATCATGACATTTTTTTGTTCCGATTCTTGAGCACAATGGTGATTTGAGACACATATTCTTTCTTGCATGCGAATTTTGTGGGATTTTAGCCACACATTGCCATGCGGCGCCAGTCTACTTGAACCCTGCAGAGATTGCACCGTCAACTCAAGGCACCGTTCTATGCCAGTGTGTCAATCATGGAATGCATTTGTACAAGGTGGCCACCCTTCCAGCTGTAAGTTGGTTTATAACATTTTATAACCCCAATTGACTATATGTATATATATATATATTTATCTGCCATAAATCCTAGTTGCATTAGTTGTAAACCAACTTAGCTATCAACATTGACAAAGCAATTTGCCTCAAAACGATGCCACTGAAGCACTATTCTTATCATCATGGCTGGTGCAAGTGCATCATCCATCATTGTGTCATCAAAGTGCATCATCCATCATCATGGTGGTTCACCATGGACAAATTAGATGTTAACATAAGTAAGTTAACCATGAGAATTTACCATGTTTATGGCCATGTTTATATCAAATTAGCCATGTTAACCATATATCCCATAGATTCCCATAGGATCCATGTATGGTATATATGCTAACATTGGGGGTATATTGATGGTAAATGTTGCCATATACAGCATACATGGATCCTATGGATCCTATGGGTATAAACATGGCAACCATCACGGCAGGATTAACACAGCGCGCCTCAGGGAATCGCCCAAGACATCAGGTTCCAACGGAGTGAACTGGCGCGGATGGATGGATGGGATGTGAATCCTGGGGGGATCATCTTCCGCATGAAACTGGGCTTCGAATGACCAGCAAAGGTTCAAAAAATGCAAAGATCAACGACATTCGAAAGATTCGAAAGCATCAATTGATGGTATTTGATGGTATTTGATGGTGTTTCTCTTTGACTTTTCGTGACATTTTTCGCCAAACGATGGGAAAGCCAGGGGGAAAGCCACCTTTCCACCCCCCACGAGCGGCGCCCAGGACACCTCGTTCTCGCGTCCAGACGACGCATCACAGCCACAGTGGATGAAACCCACAAACCTTAGCAAACTTCAGACATGAGCATCTTGGTGCGTGGGATGTGCGGCATATGTATATATATGTATGTATGTATGTAAGTGACTATGTGGCTCATATTCGCTTATCTGATCTTTGACTCAGTTTAACTGATACAACTTACACTTTCTCAAATTTTGTCAAATAGAATCAGTCCATGTACTTGACTTTCTAAATCATACTAAATCGATGTGTTTACTGATGTTAATATGATGTATGCCAATTGCAGTAATCTATGGGAATTCAAATACCCTCTGGTAAACTAACAGTTTGCTATTGAAAATGGCCATAGAAATAGTGGATTTACCTATGAATCATGGTGATTTTCATTGATTTTCCATGGTTATGTTAGTCATAACCAGATGGTAATTTCCACAATCCTAATCTGACTTTACCATGATATCCATCTCCGAGGGACGAGTCTTGACTGCTCGAAGCCTGACCCATGGCCTGAAACTGGCGGCTGGAGAGAAAATGGTTCATGGGAAGATAGAATTCTTTTGTTTTTTCGATGCATATAATTGTATCACATGGATATGGAATATATTCTCTATATATATCTATGATTCCATACAAGTCTGTATCTATATATATATATATAGATAAATATAGATATATGTATATATGCATTGCATATATATATATATATATACATAAGTATATAAAATTCCATATGTATCGTCACATGGAAATGTCTGAGTTCCAATGGCTGGTCATGTTTGGTCATGGCTGGTTGCTCATGGCATCATGGCTCATGGAGGTGATTACAATGTTACAGTCAGGAGTTAGCAATATATATATATATAATACATACATATATATATAATATATTATAATAATTACTATAATTGTCAAGTATTGACATTTTGCACATGAGGTCAAGAATACGTCAAGACTTGCGATTTGAATTTGGAGGCCCAGAAAGACGTTGATTCACCACACCCCCCGTCAGCCAGGCTGCACCTGGCCATATCGCCGGAGCCGGAAAGCAAGGCCCAAGTGGCTGCGAGAGACTCATCAGTATTTCGCCGAATGGCCATGAATAGGTTGGAGTATACAAACATTTTCGCACCAACTGTTTTTTTTCTGCATTTCGCAATCATGTTGCAATCATTAGAGTCATTAGAGCTCGGAGTATCGCAATCCTCAGATGAATTTACCTATCTCATTCCAGCGAAATATGTTTTGCACTTGCACCTGCTTCGAGCCGTTTCTTTTTCCATCCCTGCTGAGCATCACGCCGTCCAATTTTTGGGCAGCTCGCTCGACGCTCTGCTCACATTGGAACAGGTTATTTTCCTGGGCACAAGCAACTGGTTTCCATCGAATTGTTCATATATAATATAACTATGCATACATATAATATGTATTAATATGTCATTATACACATATTTACTATCACAGGATTGGTATGTGGGTGTATGTATCTATCTGTCTGTCTGTCTATCCATCCATCCATCCGTCCATCCATCTAATTGTAGATACCCTCTGGTTATTTAACATAGCCATGGTATAGATGGCCCATTTATAGATGGTTTACCTATTAAAAATGGTGATTTTCCATGACAAACTGTTAGTCATAACCAGATGGTAGATACAAACATCACCCCGTCTTGGGACTCGACCGCATTTCGACCAGCAAAAACCGCATTTCTTCGACAGGGACTCGTTTGGACTCCGTTCGAGCAGATTTTCGCAGCACTTCTTCAACCAAAAAATGTAGTTTCACACGAAGAACCGTGGGATCATGGCCTTTCTAAGACCCCCTCCTAACCCTAAGTACCCCCCCCCCCCGAAGTTACCTTTTCTGGAATTGATCTTGTGGAGGAAATAAGGTGTGAATAAGGGGTGAATAAGCCATGACTGAACAGCATGGAAATATACCCAGCATATTCCATCTAGAAAAACAAGGGGTGAGTAGTGCATGTGAAGGGAGTTCAATGGATGTTCCAATCAATCAATTATTCCAATCTATTACCCATATGCTCCATGTATGGAACCCTTTCTGAATATTTACCAACATTTGCCCTAAAAATAACCCAAATGTAGGTAAATATACCATACATGGAGCATATGGGTTAGAGCATACCCAAAGAAACATTGCCGTCGATGAATCCAATCTGTGTGATCCACAATCACTAAATCAACCTGGTGTGTGTCTCAGATCATGTACATAGAAGATGGTTCTCAATACATGAGTTCCCTCCCAAACCACAGGGTGGATGAATACTGCGCAAAGACAAACACAAAGAAATCGGACCTCTAAGTCTATGTTTTATTCAATTTTTCAGGGCTTTTCTATTTCCAGGATTGATGATGATCGATGAATATCGATGATCAATCGGATTTGCTTGGCATATCAATAATAAACCACCATCCATCATGCCACTCCATCCCCCTGCTGCCAAACATCCAACGTCACCATCAATGTAGCCTTGGAACATTGACACGTTGACACGTTTTTGGGCTATGCAGCTATGCCGCTTTTTTGCCACTTCACCAAGCGGCTTTGCTAGCTGCATCTCAATGTCTGTTGACACTAATGTGTTCAAGTCTGTCTGCCTTGCTCCAACCAACTCCAGAAATTGCTCCGACCGGTGCCAAATGGTTCTTTAAGATCTTTAGAGCAATCAACATCCAATCAACGGGGAGAAAACACCTGGAGACATTCTGGAAATAAGGGAACAAAGAACATAATTATCAGGACATACAGTATCAGGATATCCTTGCCAAAATCATGACGAAAAAGGAAACACTGCTGCAACTAACCACGGAAACGTGGGGATATGCCAATTTCTTCCTTTTCAACTTCTTCAATATCAGAGATCCGAAAAAAAAAACGAAACAGACATTGAGATTCTCCACATTTCCAGCCAATCACTGGATTGGTTTAAGGGAAAATTTACAGGAAAGCCCCATGATCTTAATGGGAATATCTATGGTTTCCGGTTAAGATTTTCCCAACAAAACCAATCCATTTCCAGCCAACTTTCCCTCCAAATCCTCCAATTTTCCCCACCCTGGGCCGCCGCACCGGCTGGGGGCCTTCGTCAGTGTCTTGCGGCCGCTGCTGCGTTGAGCCAGGATGCTACTTTTCTCCTGAGTCGCCGACTGTAGTGACTTTACCAGGTAGAAACAAATGTACCCTCTGGTAATTTAACCATAGGAAAACCATAGGAAAATGGTGGTTTAATGGGATTTAATGGGATTTAATTGGATATACCCTCTGGTTATGTCAAAATAGCTATTGAAAATGGCCATTTATAGTGAGTTTTCCCATAAAAAATTGTGATTTTCCATAGTTATGTTAGTTTACCAGAGGGTAGATGAACCATGATGAACCCCCAAGAAAATTCTGGTTGGTGGTTGAGCCTATCCCTCTGAAAAATGATGGAGTTCGTCAGTTGGGATGATGACATTCCCAACTGAATGGGAACATCATTCAAATGTTCCAGTCACCACCAACCAGAATATCTCTTTGAAATAGCCATTCCAATGGGAAAATCATGATCAACCGATAGGTTTGAGATGGTTTGAGGGGCACCTGATTTTCAGACAAACTCATGGGAGATCCCTGGGAAAGCCATCGACAAAGAAGGATTTAATCAGCCAAAAAGGTATTTAACATGATTTAATTATCAAACTATGATTTACCATCTGGCAATCCTGGCAATGTAACAAGCTTCCCACGGAACAAATCACCAACTATGTAAATGGATCTAAATGGATCTAAATAGGCCATCTATAGCTATGTTAATTCCCAGAAGCTACATATTTACAGGATAGCTATTATGTGTTTTTTCTATACATGTGACTATCGTTGCAATAACAATGCTAATAATATCTAATAATACAAACGTGGCGACCAATGCGACCAATACGTGTCACTGATGACTTTTAGTGAATGTTGTTAAATTACCGAGCTGAACAAAATGGTCCTTTATGGCCTACTTGCGCTTTACTTCCCAGAGCCAGTAATACATTGAATCATGTCCCAGCAAAAAAAAAAGTGAATCTACGATACATGCAAAAAAATCAAACACGACCAGTCTTGGATATTCTTCCCTGCGAATGACATGTTCCTCTCTCAAATAGTCCGTTGACCTATGCGCAAACCAAGCTTAACTTTGCAAGGAGTAAGTTCATCTTACTGCTACTCCGAGAAAACCTATCCTTTTTCCCACCGAGAAAGACAAGCTCCGTACAAAGACCCTATGGCCCTATGACATCTCAGGCCCAGATTATTGGATCTTGTTGGATTGATTAAAACCGCTGATCACAAAAAACAACACTGTCAACGGATGTCCAGCCAGATTCAATTGACACTACGAAAATCTACTAAATACCCAAAAATATTGTCCTTAGATGGCCTTAGGCCATCCAATCCAGATCTCTCCTTCACTTGGCACAAGTTCTTCTTCAGGAGTAGCGACCTGCGAGCGAAAAATCTTGCGCTTGGTGAATCGCGAACAAAGCACAATCTGGATCGACAAACCTGCCGGAAAAAACCGTTCACTTTCCTGCGAGAGGAAGCCACACTGACTGCCCTAAAAAAAAGACCCTGACACGCCCTAGCCCTGCCATCACTGAATACACTCTGGTAAAGATACAAAAAATATGGAAAATCAACATGCTATTAATGGGTAAATCATGGTAAATCCACTATTTCTATGGCCATGTTTAATAGCTATGTTAGTCATTACCAGAGGGTAACTCAAGGCAACCCCTGGACAGCTTTGCCCTATCCCCTGGGCATCCCCTTGGCATCCCTGGCATGAGAATGAGGAACTCGGGAAAGTCCACAGCAACACCTTTGAGCTGCGATGGGCTTAACGTCACGATTTCTTTGAGGAACTGGAGGTAATCGGCCAGCTGCCAAAACCATCCAAAAACCATGGTAAAACCATTCAAAACCATCCAAAGCCATCCAGAACCATCCAAAACCATCCAAAAACCCTGGTACTGGTTGATCTGGCTGGTTGATCTTCATCAAACATGAAGATGAGAATGAGATGTATTGACACGTCCACTTTGGAATACTGCAGATATCATTCTCGCTCCGAAAGACAGCCATCATCAGGGTTGGGCCCCACTGCGCCACATGAAGAAGCAGGACATCCTGTGAAATAAACACCACAGTTCAGGTCTCAACCTCACCTGATCCACTTGAACTGTTCATATATGTTAGTGACAAGAGGTTGTCGAGCCTTCAGAAAACAACCTACTCAGTTTAACCCATGAGGATCAAAAAGGGCACATGACTTAACTGCAGGAATCCAGGGGCTTTATCTTAAGATGTTTATTTCATTCACCTTGGTTACTAAATTCCCACTGTAGGTGTTCTTAGATGGTACTGATTCACATGGATTTGATTGTATGAAGACTAACTCTCTAAAGACCTTTAAATTATCTAGTTGATGCCACCGTGACAAAAACATCTCTCAGTTGAGAAAAAACCATTGAAATTGAGGCTTTGAGGCTTTGAAAAGACAGCACATGGGACATTCTGTGACACCTTCAACTAGGTGCAACACCTTCTAGTTTGAACACATTCAATTTGTGCGTTGGTTGGCTGCCCAAATCCATGGCCAGAACGCCAGAACACCCACCAAGCACTTGTGCGCTGCGCTCAAGTGAATAATTGTGCGTAAATTCCCAGCCCTTTAATGGAATGGTTAATACTAAAACGACAGAAGAAGGGGTTAATCATACTGTGGCCAATCTTAGACACCCCGCCATTTCGAGATGGGTATCAAATTCGGCTCCCTTATATAATATGGTATAACTATATGTACCTATCTATCCATCCATCCATCTATCTATCCATCTATCTATCCATCTATCCATCTATCTATATATATATATATATACGCACTAATATACATATATATATATACACCTATGAAAATCGTATTAAAATAGTTCTGATTACGTGTCAAGCCATAGCTCTGCTCCGAGGTGCGTGGGTTGTTGATGCCGATGGCTCCATAACTTTGGCCCTTGGGGCTCGCAGGTGCCACCACCTTCGTTGCAACGGGTGGGAAAGTCACGGAAAATCCCCAACTAGAAAAGACGTTCCATGTGTTATAGTGTGTTATTAGATAGCAGTGTGTCAAAACCTTGTACCCCTGGTGAACATCAAAATAGCTGGTAAATGGATGGTCATCCCACTAAAAATGGTATTAATAGGTATTGATCCATACCCAGATGATGTTTACCCCAGATCTCCAAGTTGAAAAACCTTTTCTATCTTTTTGATGGCTATAATCACATTTTCCCCTGGAAACTGTTGGTTTTGAATTCTGAATGGGTTTTCTTCGGCGACTGTGAAAAAGAAATATCGCAAGTTTGCAAGTTCAATGACCACCAGAACCCGTTAGCCGCCAAGTCCAGCCATATTCCTAGACCATCCTAGACTTGTTTCAGGCAAGTCTCGGGAAAACCTATGATGTTCTTGGGAAACTCTATACCCCTAGCTCCGCGGCTCCCTAGCCACTCTGTTGCTGATCAGGTTCTTTGTTCACAAGCGTAGACTGAGGCCACATGTTCGGGAATTTCCGGTTTTATCTTGATTTCTTTCACACTATCTAAATCTATTTAACAATGCTTTGCAAAGCTGTTGGTTTTGTGCATGATAGGGAAACGAAAGGGGTATCGTTCTCACTTGGGCGACTTCTGTCAGTAAACCAGCCAGCGCAAAAAGATGCAATAAGGACATCTATGATGGGAATTTGCGGTCCAGATGATTGGACTCATTTCCGGCAGTTGTCAAAACTTGTTATTCCATGTTCCTCCTATTCTTCTGAAATTCATAATTCACAATGCAGCTGAACTACAAGGGAGCTTTGATGAAAGCATTGGTTCCTTTTTGATCATTTTTCAGACAGCATCCACTTATAACAACTTCACATCCAGTTGCCATCCTGTTCTGCAGGTCTATCCCATCGCCTTTTCAGCAAATTCTGGCTTCATGTGCGCATCAATGGTGAAGAACAGCTGTGTCCTGGGTGGTGTCAGCTGGCCATGACATGCCTGATGCCAACCATGGATGAATCAAACCCAGTTGATCAATCAGGAGGTTACCTCCCACAAAAAAATACCAGATGACTTTGATTTCGAACTTTCATGAACTTTCCAAATGATTCTCCACTGTCTGAGAGAACTACTTTTGGAGAGATTTTTAGAGGCAGCTCCCATTGGTAATCAACAGGGGCACCTTCCTGAATGGAACCCCTTCATGACACTAATGCTAATGATTTCTGAGTGGGTATAGTGTACTTTATGGTCTTGCGGGTGCCAGGCAATCCCCAGTACTGCGCGACCCTTGGGGATTTTGATGCCTTTGCTACTCCGATCACAACAAAAATGCCACAGAAACGTCTGGAAAGGTCTCAAAAGTACCAAAAGAGTGGCTAAGGTATGCAGGTATGCTAAGGTATGCTAAGGTGCTGTAATTACTATATGTAATATTATGTCATGTCATGTCATTTCATGTCATTTCATATGATACATAAATGGATCCCACGTTACATTAAATACATCAAACCTTCTCTAGATTTCTCGAGTCTTTGAAACCAACCGGGTTCCCCAGCAGTTCCGCTTCATTGCTGCGCCCCAGGCCCACCACTGGTTCCAAGAGCTTCAAGAACTGCAGGCAGCGCTGGGGGGTCATGGCAAGGTGCATCAAACATTGGGACGGATCAAAAGAACAGGAGATAGTTTACCATATAGTTACCCTCTGGTAAACTAACATGGCTATTGAACATTGCCATTTATAATTGAATTACCCAATAAAAAATGGTGATTGTCCATAGTTATGTCAACGTTTACCAGAGGGTTAACCATGAACCATTAAGAATTCGCAATCAACATTGAGGTAAGAACCATCCACGGGAGTTTTAAGTACGAAAGTTGATGCGCGGTTCCAGTCCTTTTGGGGCCCCAATCCGTAACGTTTCCAGATGGGAACCTCAGCACAAATCTGCCAACCAGAACCTCAGATTTGAGGCTAAGAACCAAGGTGCCCTTAGACCTGAAACCAATCCATTGAAACCTCAGTGTCAGTATAGTTGCTTTCCACATGAATTATATATTATCCCAGGTGAAATAAATAAATAAATATATATATATATACAAATATATATATATATATATATATATCCCATTATATATATATATGTATATCCCCATTAATTATATATATCTTAGCGCGCTCACAACGCAGAACGCAAAACGTACGTTCTGGAACGCATGTTCCGAATGCAGGGGTGTTTTTAGTGGCTTTATGGATCCCAGAAGCGTCCGAATCCTTTTTTTGCTCCCTGCAAAAAGAATCGACTCTAGCACATGGAGTTTCTCAAGAAGTTTTCAAGCAGTCCAGGAGCAAAACTTGCAGGCTTTAACCTGCACAATTCTTTTAAAACCAGGCAAAAAAAGGATCCGTCTTTGGCCTGCCGAGCGCTTTTTAAAGGCCTTAAAAAAAGGATCCGTGTTTGGCCTGCCCAGCGCTTTCTAAAGCCTCTAAAAAAAGGATTCCATCTTAGGCCTGCCCGACCTAAGGCTTTTTGTCCAAACGGTTCTTCTCAGCAACACAAATCAACATCAAACCCTAGAAAAATCCTTTTAATATCTCATATATCCCCTTCCCACTAACTCTTATCCACTTATCCACTTGATTATCAATCCAAACATATCCCATCAAGGTCCAAGTCATGGCCCAGATCGCTGATCAGCCTTCTGGTGGCTGCATCTACCATTTTGAGCCCACAAGAGCTCCACATCCTTTTCTTTAGTGGGGGAAAAAGGTTTCTCTGTTCAAAACCCGGAAATAAATTGACTTTATATCATTGGAAATAATGATTCACTCAGAACGCGCGTTCTGGAACGCGAGTTTTTAAACCGCGCGTTCTGAACGCCCAAACGTACCGAACGAACATGCTAAGATATATATACCTAGACCCTTGACCACTGACCGTTTTTTAAGTTAACCTAGAAATTTGGATCACTTAGAGAAAAAGTAGGTTCTTGCTATATCCCATGGGGTTGTGATTTTGGGGCAGGAATCCACTGTATGGTGCACGTTTTCCTTCAGTCAGTTTGGGCCAAGAACAACTTTGGAGATACACCAGGTGAAGAAATCAACTACCCGACCTTGGAACAATATACAGGGTTATCAAGAAACATTATCATTCATTATCGCTGTGATTTCTTGAAGGGGGGATATAAATTCAGAACACTTTTTTCCCCCTCCTATACAAAATAATCAATTAAGATAAGTAAGGGACACCTCACCAACCATCCAGAAGGGTCATCCAGAAGGGTTGAACCGGTGGCCGCTGCCCATGTGGTGGCTTTGGCTGCTTCTCTTTTATCTTCTTTATCTGCCTTCAGGCCGGGATGGCTTGGGCAGTGAGGGTGTTTGGTGTGGTGGCCGTGTAAGGTTTCAAAAATATAGATCAAGGCCCATGCCAACAGGAAACCTATTCTTGCATGTGATTGGGCGTGAAAAAACTTTGGCTTGGTACTTTGGACTGCCTGGCTGACATTAGCCTATTTGGGATCAATCTGTGGGCGAAAATCTCAGCCTGCCATCTTTGCAACCCATGCCAGCTAAATCGGTTCCGGATGGCCCCGTTTGCCCCCACCCGAAGTCAGTGGTGGAAGCTTGGTTGAAGCACCCGGTTTTGGCTGAGCGATGCCGCAATGTAGAGCGGCTTGTTCAGAGTGAGGATTGCAAGGAGCTGAAGGACAAGAACGGAACGTTCATGAAGAAACCCATCGTTCCATCCAGAAAGAACATGATCAACAACTCAATCGTCCTGGAGGTGCTTGCCAAGGACATGTCGGCCAGAATGCGTGTTGGCGCTGACCCCATCGACGTGCTTTGCGTCATGACTTTGGGCTACTACGAGTCCAACAAGTACTTTGGCAAGGTGGCCAACTCTCTCAATCTGAAGGCAGTGGCTTACTCAGATGCATGGACCATTCACAAGATGGTGAGTCAGTTCCGCAGTCCAGTCTCCAGGTATTCATCCACCAGGGACATTTGCCTTGAATTACTCCATCTTAAATGGTTTGCCCTTCCATTCTTTGGGGTGATGTTGGACGAGACAGCAACTAATTCCTGTTCTCTACAATAAACACCGCTTTTACGGTGCCCCTGAAAAAAATATATTTAAACATGTTTCTAAACCATGGTTTCAGCAGGGGTGTTTTATATTATATATGGGATTGGGATTGTTTATGCATTTTCCATTGCTTTCCTCATTTCCTTAAACGCTTGAGGAACCAGAGCTCCAGGAGACCTTCAAGTATCTCAAAGCTTCTTATGAGTGGCAAGTCAAGGCAAGGTGGGATAAGAGGATAAGACATGACATGGTAAGGCGTGACAAAAAACATTTTATTGGACCACTCTTGCGTGCTCCCTTATAGGTCCACTTGCAGACTCTCATGGTGGAATCTGACACCCCCAGTGACACCACTTCGAGCCTTGGGTCTGGTGATCTTGGCGGTTCCGGCACTTTCAGCTTTCCTGACGAGTGTGCCGCGGAATCGCCACCCAACCTTGCAGAAAATCCAGGGATTTCAGAGAATGATCATTCTGCTATCCGGGAATGTCTTGACCACAGGTTGGCAAGGGCTGCTTCTTCCAACAATCTTCTGGCCCAGTGGGATGCGATTGAAATTTTGGACAGCCCGGTGAAGCCCACGACTGTTCCTGGTTATGGCCATTTGTTTGGCCCCACCCCCCAGGAGAGGTATGAGAAGTTGATGCATGCTCTTAACACCGTGGAAGCTAAGTTGGGTTCCCACAAGCCAGCCCCTACTGCTCCTGAGCATCTTGTTTCCCATTATATTCTATCTATTTTCAAATTTTCAATGTTGTTTTTATTGGATGGGATATTTGGGGGAACCAACATCTTTATGTTAGCTGTATATGATACTCACCCGTACCTCACCTGTCTTGGCCATTGTTTAAGGTATCCGAGCCAAGAGGCAACCGCCCCGGGATCTGACGATGCGGCCGTGCTGGGGGAAGCAGAGCCAAGCCCAGGACCACGAATTGAGCATTTCACATGTTAATTTCTGGGGTTTCTTAAATCGCCATCATTGTGTCACATGACATCTTAGGTCTTGGAAAAGTCTCGATACTTCAATGATGAAATTATCGTTCAAATTTGTTCTCCTCCTTTGTATATAGGCCCTGGGTGGTTTGCAGTGGCCGCTGGTCCATATGAATTTAGATCCCTTCGCAATCTTCGCCCGCAGGACCTGAACTCCTTGGTGCGGAGATGGTGGAGGCCACAGAAATTGACACCTTGACCTTGGAATCCCAGCCGGATCTTCAGCCCGATCCATTTGAGGGTGCCAAGCTGGTGACTATGGATGCCATGGACACTCTTGTCGTCGCCAACGACACCCTTGCTGGTGTTGAATGTGCTCTCGGCCTTCCGGAACCTGTGCCCATGGACCATCCAGCCAATGTCCCAGCATTGCACAGGACGAGCAGGGCAATGACCAAGGATGATGCGCCGATCCACTGTGAGCCAGGGGTGGGTCCTGAGGCTTCAGGGCGTGCGAGTGCTGAAGTTGGTGAAGTCGAAGTTGGTGCTGTTGCTCCCGGTTTCCCTGTTCAAGCAGAAACTGCACCGGTTCCAGAACCAGCCGGCGAGTCCGCCGTGTCTCCAGTGAAGGATTGCTTTCAAACTTTCTCACATGTTCTCTTGACATTTTGACAGGGCAGCACGTCTTAATTGCAGTAAAGAAACGATGTTGTCCCAATTTTCCACACCATCCTGGGAACTGTCCCACGAACTATTTTTAATTTTCATTTTACCTTGCCAGGACCCAGTTACCAAGAATGACCAGCTTCGGAGGATCGGAGATGTGAAGGAGGCAAAGGCGAAGGCCAAAGCGAAGGCCAAAGCGCAGGGCAAGAGCAAGGCAAAAGCCAGAGCCAAGGCCAAAGCGGCGCCCAAAGCCAAGGCACGCGCCAAGGCTAAGGCGAAAGCCAAAGCCAAGGCAGGTGCCAAGGCTGGTGCCCGGCCACCAAGGGGATATGGTCGTCGAGGTGAACCTTTGCTGACCATCGATGATGTGTTGGAGGAACATCCAGGTGTGGAGCCTGCTGACGCCCCAATCATGCCACCGTCGCCATCCCATGGACGGCGTCCTGCCATGAAGCGGCCTGCTGCCGCATCCGCCAAGGACAAAGAGAAGAAGAAGCCTCGTGTTGAGACCACTGACGGCCTTTCCGAGCATGTCAAGGAGATGCTGGAGCAGGACCGCGTTCCCCACACCTTTGGTGGCCGTGGCTGTCCTGCAAAGGGCTGGGGGCTTGAGAAATACTGTCTTGTCGCAGATGCCTTTGAAAGCCATGTGGCCCCATCCCTGCCGGCCCGAAAAAAACACAAGGCTCAGGCAACCTCTGGCCAAACCAGCTCTTGTACTTAACACGTTTGCTCAAGTGGTGGAACATGTTTATCAAATGGTTTGCCATTATTTTTGGGCGACAGATGTTGGTTTGATTGTTGAACAATTTTCCCATGCCAATCCAGTGGTTTACCGCCCGCTGCTGCGCAGATGTTCTTTTGCGAGCTGGTGGCCGCTGAGAAGCTGAAGGTTGAAAACTTCGACCCGATGGATTTCTCTTTCATCGACAATGCAGTGGGCAAGTGGGCAACAGAGTGGGCCAAGTTTCATCCTCATTCGCTTATTTTTTGGATTACAGTGTTCGTTTCGAAATTTTGAATACGTTTCTAGATCCGGTTTGCACTACGCAGGCTTACAGCCAAATCTTTTACATTTTACAACATGACTTCCCCGAAGGGTTGCCTGAGTAAAGCCCAGGAAGCTAGATGAGATGGGCGAAGCTCCTCCTGGTCGCCGCCGGCAAGATCGCCAGGTGGATGAGGAAGACGGGGCTGACATGCCTGAAGGAGGGGTTCCTGAGTCCTAACAAGGAACAAATTTTCAAACTTAAAGGGACGCCGTGTCTACTTCCGGGTAGCCTGGGGTTAGCTTGCGCTAGGGAGTCAAGATCTCCAGGATGAGATCCTGTCTGAAAAAGACATTGCGTTTGGTTTTGACCTTCAAAAGATGGCGACAGTCAACATGGGGGATTCCTGAACAACATTGTCCAGTGAAATTTATTTCTCTTGTTTCTCCACCGCGCTTTTTCACCTTGTAGCTTGTTGCTGGGAAACACCCCCTGGATCGGTGACTGGAAGCCAAGCGGGAGCGCTTATCTTACATGTGACGAGCTTCGGCAGCAGAGCGGGATGGGCAAGTGAGAAAACAGCTATTTGTCCCTTGTGCAGTGGCTCTAGTGTCGGGGTGATAAGCTTGTTCGTAAATGGGATGGAGAAGGATCTAGATTCCAAGGTGTTGTGTGTTTGATCGCCTCACACCCCCTCAGAACCCCAAAGTTTGAGGCTATACTACCTTACTTGCTGCCACCGCTGTGCTCCTGGCAGGCGGAGCCATGAGAGCGTTGCGGGGCCTCAAGAGGGAGGCCAAACTGGGCCTTTTCGATGATCTCAGTCTGGGCTGGCTTGTTTATCATGCAGGTAGCTATAGATGGTTTTGTCCGAATGGGCTTTGAAACGATATCATGTCGGTCTGCTGATGTCATCAAAACTGCTCTGTCCCATCTGTTTGGCAAGCGCTTGTTGGATCTGATTTGCAACCCATTGATGCTACAGCAGCCGCTGAAGCTGACAAGAGGGGCCTTGCTGGCCCAGTTTTCTCCATTTGTTTCACAATGCCCTGGTCTCCATCTCATGTTGTGCAGCGGTTGCATGCCTTAGGGGCCCCGAAAGCACCTAGCCGATTTCATCTTGTTTCTCAGTTTCCCACTTTGATAACTTGCTGCCATTGTCCTGGTTTATTTCCTACCATGTCCCCCACACACACACACACATGGTCTTTCCTCCAAGGTACTGGCCTTTGCAGCACTCTTGCTGCTATGGAACACGTCGGTGGATTGGACAGGGGAGGTACGGGTGAGCCAAACATAACCCCAAAAATATTTATTAGTATTGAAATTGAACATGAAACTCTTGTTTTATTCGGGTCTCTAGTGAATCAAGAACGTTTTTGATGATTTTCCCTGCAATCAGGATTATCTGTTCGTTGAAAGTTTTGCCGGAACTGCGGAAGCAACACGTCAAGTGCAGTCTTCCTTCCCATCTCGTACAACCGTGGCTCTAGACATCAAGTTCACCCCTACAATGGACTTAGGTACGGAGAGTGGAATGGGGAATCCTGGTGAAAGTAGTAGAAGCTTTCGTATTGTTTCTGATGGTGGTTATTTGAATCTTAAAAATGAAGCAATAATCAGGCATCGATAGTTGGTAATATTTGACAACAGTCTCATTGGACATGTGAGGGCGGCAATGGTAGCAGTACTACGTGGTGACCCTGATGGATTTATACATTGGTTGGGAGTTCAATGTGCTTCGTGGATTTCAACATCTAGGGGAAGTACAGGTAGAAGCCTCGCTAATCCTGAAGGTGCAGAAGGTGTACAAAGCGTGGAAGTTGCCAATTTCTTGGCTTGCAGGTGTGGCCCCACCAAAAAGGAACCTTTTTGGCAATTGATACCTTCGAATAATATGCGTTGTTTAACTCATGGTTTAACATTTTTTGACTCGTTTACCTAAATGTTCTGTTTCATTGAACCATCATGTCCCTGGAAAACCCTGGGCAGGGTAGCTTTACTTTGTTTTCTCACAGTGGCCTTAACTGGCACATGGATCATAGAACAGCCACGTTCAAGTTTGCTTCTTCAACATTACCGGCTGCGACAGCTATTGGATACCATGGAGGCAAGCAAATCTGTATATAATTTGATGGAAGAACGGGTAGGATATGATATGGCCCCCCTCTATCCACAATCTATTATTTTTTACTGGTTTACTGATTAATGGACCTTTTTATTGGGTAAAAAGTTTTTGGGGCACCCTCGAATATCCCACAAGTTTGAACACTATAGAACTCCGAAATGATGCATAACTATAACTTGTGTTGACTTTTAGAAATATCACCTTTCTGGCCCAAAGGTTTTTGTCCTTGGGAATCCCTTTATTTTCAAAGCTTGAAGGAAATACCCAACAATGTTTCTCATTTGCAAAGACTACGCTCTTTGCTGGGTGTGCCTTAATTTTGGCAACTCCTGTTCATCACATTCCCAAGGTGTTTCGTTGCAATTTCTGGATGTTTCACTTTGATGCGAAAACACCGAAGAGAACGTCCCTATGGTCGTCTAGTGCAAGCATTGGGCTTTTTTGGACTTCGAAGCTGAAGAAGGTAAAGTATGAGCAAGCTAAAAGAGAACGCGGTGCGGCCCAGCCCAGGCCTTGCCGATCTTACCGAGACGCTGAAGGCAGGGTGCGCTACCATGGCACCTCCGAGCTCAAGCAAACGGAGTTCCGGGTCTGGAGAATTCACAGAAATATTTCCCCTTTCTTCCTTCAATCTTTGGGGCCACATAGATTTTTCCATATGTTCGCTCAATTGCTTTTAAGGCAATACACGAAATGCTTCGCCAAGAAGATCGCTTCCCTTGTTGACCAACTCAAGCCTAAGTGTGATTATGTTTCCCACCATGACTCCGTGGATGCAATTAAACTTTGGGAGCAGTGGAGTTGGGATGACCGCTGGCTCGATGCCGGCATGCCCGCTTTCATCAAATATTTGTATGGAGCTCGCTCCTTGAAAATTCCCGCTGATTGGGCCAAAGTCCTACCCAAAAGGATTTGAATAACTCAACTGGGATTCCTCCCTAGAGGTGCAATCATATTTTCAAGAATGGCTTGCGGGGTTTGGATACAATATAATAACCTCATCAGAATTCTTTCTTGGGTGTGATGCATGGCCACAATCAGGAATACCAATTTCAACAGGGATGCGGGTTCCAACTCACTCTCCCTGGGCGTGTGGCGAAGGGACGTGGAAAAGGTGTGGGGACCATGTTTGAATCCCGGATGCCTGGATTCTTGTAGCCACCCAAATTCTCTTAAATAATCTGTCCACAAAAGGGTCTTAACCATTATGTCTAGGTTTTGGCAACTTTTTGCAGCTTTTTTCACAATTCTGAACTGAATCACTTAAAAACACAACGCAAAACTTAAAAACACAACGCGAGCGCGCAAAAATATAACACAATCGCCTAAAAAACATGAAGCGCGTAGATTTTCAAAACCGGACCACTCAAAAACACAACGCGGGCGCAGAAAAAAACAACACCAGCGCGCAAAAAAACAGCGCAACTTTCGTGTCATTTCGTGGATTCGCGTCTACACCTGTTTTGCCACTTTGTGTGGGTGATTTGCACCGATGGCAGGTTTTATGTAGCCTTCTTCAGCTGCTCCTGCTGCGTCTTAGGGTTTCCCTTGGGTAGTTTCTGTGTTATGTCGACCGAAGAACTTCGGAGCCGATTGTGGAGCTGCAGTGACCGAAGTGAAGCCATAGAAATTATGGATAAGACGTCAACGATGCCTTCAGACCCACAAGAGTTGCTCAAACTGGCGAAGGAGTCCCAAACCATCAGGGGGGGAACCATTTTCCAAATAGAATTTGTTGAAAGTTAAAACCAGCTGTGCCTATGTGGCCCTTTTTTCTTTTGAAACCAGGGATTTTCAGTCCCACGGTCAGGACCTGAAGCGCCTTGCTGAGAAAGCGAAGGCCGAGATTGCCGAAGCGGAGACCTTACCAGCTCAGGACGATGCGCTTCCTAAAGTGGAACCCGGGGTCAAAGTCGAACAGGAAGGCCTCCCAGAAATCGATCCTGTTGCCTGACACATGTCAAAAACTCATACATAGATTAAACGAACACCTATGACACCACTTCTACATATACAAGTCTTCTTTTCTCCTATGGGGTATCCAGAGAATCCCATTCATCCATATTCATCCGACCACTTAGGCTGCTACTTGGCCCTATGTCTTGGCCACTGGTGATTCAGGGCAGGGGCTGCCTGGCCTCTGTGACCCACTAGAGGATGAAGATTGGCAAGATTTGTTCCAGCACTACTTCGTGACCAATAGCCCGCCGCCAGATCCCGTGTCCACAGATGCCTACCAGGAAATGTTTTCCCCGGAACCCAGGGACACATATGCCTCTCCTTTGGGCAAACTGGATGAAAGCACAGAAGTTTCTAGCTTGCTGTTTTTTGAGCAACATGTTCAAATTTTAACTGCTTGTATTTCGCCAAGCAGGTGTAGTTTAATGGTTGTCTAAGGACGAACGCGCAAATGCTTTCCCTATGATTGGAGCCTTTTCAAGGTGGTTAGTTTTTGCACCCACAAACTTTCAAGCGGCCCAGGATAGCGGTGCCTTGACGACCACCCCAGGCAGCAGTGCGGGTGGCCTTTCCGATGGATCGGGCAGCAAGAGTGTGCCTAAGCAGAACCCCAACTACTTGCATATCTCGGATGAGGTAGGCGTTGTTCGTTCCACAAATGTTTGCTTAACTGCAGTCTCTGGAAACCCCTAAGGCTACCTCTGGCGCAGCCAAACGCAATCATGAGCTCATTGCCTCTTTGGGACTCATCGATGAAAATGACTTGGAGTTCTGGAGGGGAAAATTTAGGAGGACATGTGAGCCCAAGCGGGCATCTGGCAACTTGGAAATCCCTGATGACATTTTCCAGCAGTATCAATCCAAAGGGGCCTCTAGGGACAAGCTCTTCGAGCTGTTTGTGAAAAGTGGTGGGGACAAAGACCCTTTTCCGGTGATATGCAAACTTTGGTTTTCAATTTTCAAAGCTTCCAAAAAATATGTTGGATAAAAATGTTGGCTCTCCGCTTTCCCCTTGTCTCCAAGGATTCCTTCATCCAAGAAGTGCGGGTGGAACGATCCAGTGAGCAAGTCAACGAGTTGAACCGCGAGGGAGGTTTCTATACTGAGAAGGAAATGAAGGATATTCTGAAATTTCCCGAGATCCTTTACTCATATATGTTGGATTCTTTCCGTATATCCCAATCCAAAAGCAAGTATGATTTCCCTGCCCCTTCCCATTGCCTCAGCGACTTTTGTCCCACCTATCGCCTGGCCCAAGCAACTCAGGAGCAAGATTCGAAGTGCTGTTGAGCGTGGGGAACGGGATCCAACTTACATGGAGCTACCTAGCTTCAAGCATATCCTACCGTTCGTTTGCTTTTACGATTTGACATCCAGAAACAAATTGACACTACACAAATCCCATGGCCTCTTGGGGGTTCCCGTATATCAGCCTAGGCTGGATGAGCTTGACGAAAACATCGTCTACTACTGGTGCAATGTGCGAACTCGCGGCAACTTGAAGAACCGTCATGCCCAAGGTCTGCATGTTTCCACGACCGCCCAGGGCAACACAGACCGATTCAAGAGCCAGCTCATGAGCAACAAGTTCGATCTAGCGTCCATGGGCCATCATGGGCCTGCTAAGAAGGAGCAGAAAGCCGTGAAGGCAAGTTACCCAACAACCAATATATTCATTTGTTCATCGGCTTCAAAGTCAGTCCCCGAATTCAGTATAGCAGCTAGCAAATTCCAGGCGACTATCAGAACAAGTGCTTTGCATTTACCACCAATTCTTTTCGTCACGATTTCAATTCAATCTTCTACAGCAAAGAAACTTGGTCTGTATTTTTGGTAGCTTCAGGGCCCTCAAAACACCAGCACCGGTGATCCTGGCCTCAGACGCACGAGCTTGACTCGCACATGGAAGAGGTTCTGAATGTCCTGAACAAGATGGCGCCGTTTCTGGATAAACTCCATGCCAGCACGGCAAAGGGGGCACCTGAGCCGCTCATCCTGGCACCAATCTTTTCAAAAGTTGTTTGAAACACTTTTTGGTGACATCCGCTGCAAAAAAATGTGACCCATTTTCTATGAAGTCTAATTCCTGGTGCCCGGATTCCAAGGGCCCACACGTCGGTGGCAGCACTCTATGACAAGATGTCCAAGCTTTACGACAACATGACCGAGATATCCGCAGATCTTAAAGTCGGGGATGTCAATGTTGATAGTGAAGAGAACCTAGCCTTTTTTGGAAGAACAGCTCACGTCGTTGTGTGCTAATGATGGGAAATAAGATTCGTATTGAACATAGACCTACAACCTTTCTTTCTTCGGATGATATGACTCAGGATGGTCAACAAACTGAAGAAAGTCTATGCAGAGAGCAAGAGGCTGCCAAGCTCTTAGCCTCACAGTTCGTTCTTGGTCCAAAGTCCTCACATGCACAAATCCACCACTTTATTCCTCGGCCCGGCCCCTTGCCTTGCCGAGTCTGTCAACTTGGACTGCGACAGAGAAGAAGTTCAGGCGTGAACCTCGCTGACTTGCCAGTGTGTACATTCGTGTTGTTGCACCCACAAAATTTGAAGGCTTCATAAATTGGGCCAGCAGGGACCACCAAAGGAATACTCCACATAATGCAGTTCAAGACCATGCCTGCCTCTATTTTGCATTTCCACCCTAGCAGCAGCATTTTTCAGGACTTTGGCTCGCCGACCGCGAGCTGCCAAAGAGAAGCAGGACGAGGAATAGACGGACTGATAGGGGCCCGGCTGAAGATAGATATATTTAGGGGGCTTGCTTCTAAACAAATGGAAGCGTGGGGCTTTTTTTGCCTGGTGCAATGAGCACCAACAAGCGATGCTATCTCCAGACCATGCTGTTTGATCAGCGTGCGGAGTGTGTGTGCGTGTGTGGATGTGATCACCATGCTAACTTTTTAGCGTGATGAGACTCTGAGCTGAGCAAGTTGAAAACCCAAGAGAATACGCTGATGGGTTTTGGGTTCTGCAATTTTCATTTGCCAAAACCCTCATCGCATGGATTTCATCCTGCCAGGTGAGCCCCCTTCCAAAGTCAGCAAAACTGCTGAGTACCTGGCAACTTGTGTCGGGACTGGCGCGCCAACCTTAGCAAATGCCGGCCAGTGGGCGAGCTTGGGTGCTGGCATTTATTTTTCTGGAAGCGCTTGGTAATCTGAAGAAATTTTGGCTTGCAGTCATGAAATGTGATGACACCCTATGGCTAGAAGAACTATTAGGATTTCGGGTAGAGGATCGCCCCTTCTTGCCATCATGTGACCTATGTGATCGCAATGCTCGGACAACTGACAGCCCCTGGGTTGGCATAAGGTGTTCCCAGTTTTTGTTTCCTTTTCAAAGGCATTTCAAGACAAACCCGAATGCTTTCCCAGTACAGGGTCCGAAGTAAAAGCTACTGGTGATTGCTTTCATTTAAGGGAGGTGGACACAAAAGTCAGCAGGATGCCTTCCAGCCATCACCTTCCTTTCTGCCAAAATGTTTTAACCCAGAAGATTTAGGGGGTTGTAGAACATCCGCATTCATGACCCTCTTTGAAGTCAGGGTTCTTAGCTGTCGGCCTGTAAGGACCCCCTGCCGAAAGAATACGTTCCTCTGGTGCTGCGTGGTTGAATGATGCCTATCGCCCTGTTCCCCCTTCAGAACATGGTGACACCCGCCCATTGACACAAAACAGCAGCGCCTCAGCAAGACTAAAAGCTTGGTATGATGACAAAACAGCCATGTTGTTCCATTGGCTTTGCAAGATGGGGATCCAAACCATATCTAAGGTAGTGGTGGTACAGCGCTTCTTTTCAAACCAGCAGTGAGGCAAATGCCCAGGCTGAGCACTCTCATCTCAAAGGGTTTGGGAGATGACGGCCTTGTTTGGCTTAAATTGCCACCCCCTGCAGCCAGCACTGGCCGAGCATTGGCTTTTTGCCGGGAAGTCATTGATAAATTGTTGAAAAAAGGCCCTCATGTTTACAAGATTGGGGTGACTGCGGATCCCCTGTTCCGCTTTTATAAGCGGCCTAGCTTTGAGTCGTCTTCCCCTGGGTATTACTATTGCCATGACAAATTCAAATGCATGTATGTCCTTTATGCTAGTGCAACCTGGGACGAGGCCGCTTTAATGGAAGCTGTCCTCATAGAATCCCACAAAGGTTGCTCCGGAAACAGAAATGATAGGCCTGGGGGAGAAGGAAGGAAATGTGATGAAGGACCCTTCTTTACCTACGTGGTTTTCAAATCTGCGCTGTAATTTGATTTGATCCCCGCAAGGCAGAAAAAAGAACCAACGCTTCAAACTTGTCGTTTGTGTCAGCATGACTTCCTCACCTGACATGATGCCAATTTCTTTGACCGCCATCTCCCAATGCCCGCTGAGGTGCCTTGCGCTTGGGTGGTGAGCTTTGCCAAGAAGACCTTGGAAGATGCTGCTGGGAGCAGCAGTGCTGTGGTTTCGTGCCCCGTGGTCAAAGGTTTGAGCAAGCTCAGCACCAAGGATGCTGAGGAAAGGCTACACCCAATCTTAGTCCAGAATGGCTTGAGTTTACCCATAGAACTCACTCCTCTTTCTGGTGATTTGGATGGCTTCCCGCGGCTGAAACCATTGAATTTTTTGCAATACATGGCAAGCGAAGGCAAACTCAATCGACTCCTAGGAGGGAGGCAAATCAATACTGGTGGCCGGGACATGCTGGAAGAATTCTGGCAACGGTACGAAGTTGTGCACCCCGATTTCAGTTTTTTCCTTGAGGATAACAAGGTTGACAAAGGTATGTGCATACCAGTTTTTGCACATGCTGACGGTGGCCGGGGATACAAAAAATCTGAATTTATGGTGTTCAACTGGAGCTCTGCCATCGGAAGCGGCACTGGCAAAGCAAATCGCAAAGACAACTTTTCCAGCAGGCCGCTGAAAAGAAGAAAGGGCATGCAAGTTAATCTCTTGGGTCACACCTTTGGGACACACTTCATGTGGGGTGCTGCACCTGCTATGTGGCACAAAGATGATTCGCACTTTCAATCTATGATGACCGCGCTTGGGGAAGATTTAAAAGAGTGCTTTGATACCGGAGTGTTGTATCAAGGGCAACGCTTGAGGCTTGTGTGCATTGGCTTGAAAGCTGATTTGAAATTGCAAGCCCGTGCAGGTCGACTAACAAGATGGTATTCCACTTGCAGGAAAAGCGCTTATGACCCTGCCAAAAAAAACCAAACCCTTGGGTACTGTTGCTGGCTTTGCCCAGCTGGCAGCATTGATTTTCCTTTTGAGGAGGTTCATACTGAGTCCCCTGCGTGGTTCAAAGCAATGGGGCAGTTTGCAGCCACACCACCTTGGAAAGATGGCGAAGTGAACGGCATCCTAGCCAACAGCTTTTCGTACATGGCGCAACCAGCCAAGTTCTACCTAGCTGATTTGTTTCACGTCTACTTAGCAGGGTTTGGCCAAGACCATGCTGCCTCGTGCTTGGTTTACATGCTCGGTGTGACCTTTGATGGGTCATCTGTTGATACACAGCTGGAAAGTCTGAATGCGGCTTGGAAATTGTGGAGGAAATTCAACAAGGTTTCCACTCACACGTATACTTGGACTCGAAACATGCTTGGCTTCCCCAATGCCACAACTTTCCCTAGCGGCACCTGGTCCAAAGCTTCCGATACAGCAAAGATCATGGAGTTCATTTTGTACATGTGCGATGTCTACTCTGACAAGATAGCTGGGGATAGAATTCTTTACTACATTCAAGTAGCTGGGACGGCCTTGGGAACATGCATGAAAGGGCTCTATGATGCTGATCTCTGGATAGAGCCTGGGTGCTATGAACTGTATATGATCTGTCCCCCTGATATTAAAGACCTCTCAAATCGTTCTATGATATATAAAGGTAAGCCTTCTACTACAAGACGGTTTTTGGAAGGTGTTTAAAGTCAGGGGGCAAGGTTTATGCATTTTGTTCTCTTCTCCCATTCCAAGGAACCCTTTTCGTGGATTATCCCATTATCCAGTGTCGGTATTCTTTTCCCACATGAATGCTAAGGAACCGTCTTTGGCTGGCCGAATTGTTGACAGCGGCCTTACCTTTTTGAGGGCATATGCGAAGCTTGCGTCACTTGCGTATCACCAACATCTTTACCTGTTTGTGTTTCGACCAAAGCTTCACTATTTTCACCACCTACTGTTGGAAATTAGTTGCACATTAAATTCAGGAGGGTTGCCATTAAACCCCCTGGCATATTCTTGTTCAGCTGCAGAGGATTTTATTGGTCGTGCCTCTCTCTTAAGTAGACGAACTGCAGCAGCAACAACTGAAAGGCGGGTACTTCAAAGGTATCTCGCTGGAGCTGCAGATGTGTGGGCCCGGGAGGCTCACTAAAATCTGGGTCGCCAGGCATCACCACAGGCAGCGGCCAAGATGATGTCCAGAAAGTGCCAAAGATTTGGCCGTGGCAGGGAAAGATGGGTTTGTGGGCAAGAAGAAAGGGTGATATACAGATACAGACTCATATTGTTTGAATTGGAGCCAATCTTGGCGAAAACCTCAAATTTGCAAATTTTGTGATTTTTAGGTTTCACCTAGAAATCTGGATCACCGACCGAAATCTAGGTGCTCAGAGGCTCCAGGTATATATATATATATATATAAATTATATCCCCATGAAATTTCGCCATGAAATTTCCTACAAATTTGCGGCCCATCCCTGCAGCTGAACGCTCATCGCCTCATCCACCCTCAGCATGCCGCGGAAGCAGCCCAGGCTGTCTTCCTGGCGCTGAGGTCTAGATTCGTGTTTTGAACAATATAGTAACAATTAAATAGGATATATATATATATATCCAATTAGTGTTCTATTGGATATATATATATATATCCTGTGTTTTTGATCCAATTAGTGTTCTCTTATATATATATATATTATCCTATGTGTACATGCAACTTTAAAACGATAATCATGCGTATATCCAAGTTTGGTGCACATACACATAGGAATATATATATATGCAGCCACTGTGGCATAATTGCCCCTATCAACCATCATGTGTCGAGACACTGCGATGCTGTCATTATTTGGCATGAATCTACATGAAATTTCCGTATATCATATCAATATTCTGCGTATATATATATATATGTAATATATATATAACAAAAAACGTACATTATAATTACATTAAACTTGTATATCATTGCATATCTATTACGCATGAACACATATAAGCTCAAACTTTGTGGTGGTCCGACGAACTTGAGTCTTTTTGGGTGCTGTTGGGCTGGGGTGGGGCAATACAGTTCACGTACATGTGCGCAAGTACTTGTTTCTACGCTATCAGCAGATCTTTTCTTTGCTTTGCATATGTATTTCGTGCCACGCCACCCAGCGACTTTCGACATGGCCACAAAGAGAGACCAAGAGAGACAAAGAGAGAGGGAGACAACTTTCATGTCAAACATAATGTTACCAAATCAATAATAAACCACCCATATTGTCATGGTTTTGTACAAATATTTATGATAAAAATGTATCAAACCCCAGTTGCAAAAGGTGCATCACTCCGCACCAAGGCCGAGGCCTCGCCCAGGAAGAGCTTGCGGAACTCTTCCACCTGGTGGGGGCCTAGCCTTTTTGGGGGTCCCAAAAGGGCCTAGGGGTCCTAGGGGTCCCTTAGAGGCCCTTGATGATGGGTCTATGACTATCATGACTCAACAAAGGTGTATTTCACTAGGAAGACTTGGCAAGGAGCGGGGATGGATATATAGAATAATGAATAATGTAAACATGGAGTCAAGATTCTGCAAGGATGGCTCAGATTGGATAGGTAGATTCTTAAGCATGGGGTGGTGACCAGACCCCAAGATGTTTTTTTGACTATCATTCTCTTGTTGGTAGATGCAACCATCCAAACATATGCGTCGTTTGGGATCATCATGCCAAATTGCAGGAACCATGAACAACGAATTCAAACCACCAAAAGCTCTTGTAGGTTGCATCTGGGCTGGCTACATCTCCATTGTTAGTCGGACAACTATATTGGCTAAGTGATTGATTGACCATCACATCCATCACTCTAGTATCTATGCATCAGTTTACCCATTGTATCCCTCCTCAGTTTGTTGACTCATCATTAACTCGGAACATCTATGCCATTTATCCCAGTTATCCATCTTTATCCCATTTTTTCTAGTGTTTGTATCCATCAGCAACCAAACATATCCAATTCTATCAGCTTTCTCCGTGGCTTTTCCACATCACCAACTACACATATCCGTTCTAGAAATCCCATGATATGAACCATTAAAAGATATGGAATCATGTTTTGGGATATGGCATGTAATTATATATATTCATATGTATATATATATAGCTATATATATATACAAATGTCATTATACTATTTATATATCTAATATACTATTTATATATCTAATAATATATATATATATAATATATATATAGTTACCACATCGTTTCCAGCTTTTGTTGCATCATTTTTGCACGTTCCCGAGCGCAATCGCAAAGGGCACTTCCCGACTGGAGAACTTGGACTTCTCGATGGCGAAGGTTTCCTGGTGGCTGTACAATAAATGTCTACCCACTTCACCCAATGATTTACATATATTGTAAATATGAGTATCTAAATCATAGTAATTATTATGATGTAGATAAATATGAGTATATCTAAATAAAGCTACTGTACTATAGGTGTATAATATGACATAATGGATACTCATTACTATGATATCACATAGATGTATCTATATACGCTATGATTTAGATACTCATTACTATGATTTAGTAAGATCATTTATATTCATATATGATGTATAATATGACAGACTGTCTAATTTACTCTAGATTTTATCCGAATGAGTGATAGTGCAACATATATTCCATCATTAGACAATTCGAATCTATGAAGAGTAAAGTGGGTACCCCTAACCAAGAATAATGTCCATTTCGGGCTACCCCAAATCATATGTTTTTTGAAAACTAACAGTCCAATTTTAAGGATTGTTTGGGGATACCACTATTCTGGGAACTATATAGAGTAGGCTACTCAACGATCAAAAATGGGAGCTTAAACGATCAAGTAGGGGACCCACAAAATTGAATAGGAAAGGAAAGTCATTGGGTATCATCATCTATGGTTCATACATATCTATGTATATATATATACACGTATAAATCAAACTAACACTAAAAGAGATATATTTGAATTTGAAACCACCAGCGGGGTGGAAACAAAAGGGCTCCTCTTCCCAGATTTTTTTCAGCACTGCGACGCACCTTGGCCATGCGCAGACGATCCTGCATCTCATCCACTTGACGCATGAGCCTCGAGCCCACGACGCTGCAAAATTCTGCAAAGGTCGGATCAAGTTGGGATGATTTGTTCAAATAGGCTGTGTTGCTATCTTTTCAAAATAACATCATCTCATATAATCTCATTCAAATGAATGACATTTTTTTTACTTAGGAACTCATGTACCCTCCAAAAGTAGATGGAATTCGACCTCGACCTGACTGCATCTTCCCCGCCTCAGAAAGTCTGGAAAGTCCACATGTCCCGACTTATCAGGATCCACCTGACGGGATCCATTTCGACCACATCCCCATCTCCATCTCCCTTTGTCGGAAGGCCAACAGGCCCAACAGGATAGATATACTGGGTGTGTTCCCCAAAAAAATGTGTGTCACCAATATATCCATATGTATATATATACATAATTATATCTATATATTATATAAATATAAACATATACTGTATAATACTGTATAATACTGTATAATACTGTATAATACTGTACAAATATTCAGGGTTCATCAACCAATAAGCATGCTCCCATTGAATATTGCCTATATAGTTGCAGATGTTCATCCCCCCATTCACATTTGAATAATTTTGGGTGTGGGTCCAATTCCGTGAGCCTACAAAAAATGACATGTCTTTGTGCTTTTGGTATTTAACTATACAAAAACCATTAGATAGGTATATTGTCCGTTTTTAACTATATAATTTACAGTATGATATGCGTAATCATTACAGTTTCAGAACTTAATTCATCTCTAGCATTGTTGTTATACATTAGGACTATCGTTCTTACTCACGATCATTTCATCTTTATCTGTCATTTTGTTTCACATTCAATTTTTCAAAAGTTAGTTTCCTTTTTGTTATATAGCATCTTATAACACTTTTAGTCTTGTAACATTTATTTATGTCTTTTAGTCTTGTGATTTTTATGAGTTGTTGATGAGATAGATTGCAATATCATGAATTTATTTAATTGAATTCATATGCTCCATGATGTCCAAGTGATTCCAAATCTCTGGAAAGTTTCGCAGAATGATCAGACCGTTCACAGCTGTGCATCTTTGCTATCATGCTATCTCTGTCAGTTAAGTTGATGGGTTGGGCCCCTCAAAAAATAAAATGCACCCCCACAAAATAAAATGCTGGGGTCTGACCCCATTTTATTTCAGATGTGCTTGATTTTTTTTCTTTGAGGGGGCCCAGCCCTCTCATTCTCTTGGGGTACACCATAGGAGGATCTATATATATACAGTTATATACTATATGTATGTATATGTGTATATATTAAAAAAACTTAGACCAATGATCCCCGACCCCAACTGGTTCAGGAGTAGGGGGGGTGGAGTTGCACCTCACGTGTGTAACTGAGCTCCACCAAAAGGTCCCCGGACCTCGTCTGAAGCACCCCACGTAGGACTTGGCGCTGAAGCGCGAATCCAGCCCTACGTGGGGGCAATTGCAGCTGCCGCCGCTCTAAGCTGCGTAAAGTGGCCCGTGCTATGGCTTCACCACCACCGCCGAGCACGGATGCCGGGTGCAACCGGGCCATATTTACAAAAAGCTCATCCCAGACACCATACCAGCCTCTCACCCTTACCTTGGAAGCAGCAAGCAAATTTAAAAAAAACAACTATATATTTGTACATACAACAAGAAGTGCAACCATCTCCCGCGCATAGAAACATGATCGTCATCAACAAATACGAAAAACTATGTCTTATTGTCGTCACGATCTTTCCATAGGGATAAAAAATCAAAACCCTCCCGAAAAAACAAAAACTACCGAAAAGGCTTGACCAAAAATGCCAAGGCACGGCTGCAGCCGGAACTTGGAGAAAACCAAGTTCGGCTATGAAGCGAAATGGTTGCGGCAGACGGAAGCGACTGCCAAGCGCAGCCTAAAGCAGGGTTGGCGCTACAACAAAAACACCGAAACGTTTCTTGAACCCACTTTAAAGCTTTAGTCAAAAGAACCACCTTTGTAAACAACAACTTCAAAAATGCTCCGTCCTATCTAGAATCTAGCCTGCAGCCGATGTAGGCATTTCTGATAATGTATGAACAAAAGGGGGGTTAACCCCCTCACTTTTTGCCAAAAATGTATGGGAACTAGGGGGGGGGTACGAGGGAAAAACCTGTACTATGTGGCGCGCGCAGTTTTCCTTGTAAAAATTCTAAATTTGGGTCACGTGAATTTAAAATTCAATCGTAAAATTCTAAATTCTTCCAAGCTCCAAATTTAGAATTTTTAAAATTCAATTCTAAAAATTCTAACTTTTTCCCACCTCCAAATTTAGAATTTTTAAAATTCAATTCTAAAAATTCTACAAATTCTAAATTTTTCCCAGCTCCAAATTTAGAATTTTTAGAATTCAATTCTAAAAATTCTACAAATTCTAATTTTTTCCAAGCTCCAAATTTACAATTTTTAGAATTCAAGTCAACAAATTTTAAAAATTATACATTTTTCCAAGGTCCAAATTTAGAATTTTTATAATTCAATTCTAAAAATTCTAAATTTTTCCCAGCTCCAAATTTAGAATGTTTAGAATTTTTACAATTCAATTTTAAAAATTTTAAAAATTCTAAATTTTTCCAAGCTCCAAATTTAGAATTTTTAGAATTCAAAGCTGGTTTTGGGGAAGTTGAACTAATTCTAATTTAGAATTTTTAGAATTTTTAGAATTGAATTCTAAAAATTCTAAATTTTTCCCAGCTCCAAATTTAGAATTTTTAGAATTCAATTCTAAAAATTCTAAAAATTCTAAATTTTTCCAAGCTCCAAATTTAGAATTTTTAGAATTTTTAGAATTCAAAGCTGGATTTGGGGAAGTTGAACTAATTCTAATTTAGAATTTTTAGAATTTTTAGAATTGAATTCTAAAAATTCTAAAAATTCTAAATTTTTCCCAGCTCCAAATTTAGAATTTTTAGAATTTTTAGAATTCAAAGCTGGTTTTGGGGAAGTTGAACTAATTCTAATTTAGAATGTTTAGAATTTTTAGAATTGAATTCTAAAAATTCTAAATTTTTCCCAGCTCCAAATTTAGAATGTTCAGAATTTTTAGAATTCAATTTTAAAAATTCTAAAAATTCTAAATTTTTCCAAGCTCCAAATTTAGAATTTTTAGAACTTTTAGAATTGAATTCTCAAAATTCTAAAAATTCTAAATTTTTCCAAGCTCCAAATTTAGAATTTTTAGAATTTTTAGAATTCAAAGCTGGTTTTGGGGAAGTTGAACTAATTCTAATTTAGAATTTTTAGAATTTTTAGAATTCAATTCTAAAAATTCTAAATTTTTCCAAGCTCCAAATTTAGAATTTTTAGAATTTTTAAAATTGAATTCTAAAAATTCTAAAAATTCTAAATTTTTCCAAGCTCCAAATTTAGAATTTTTAGAATTGAATTCTCAAAATTCTAAAAATTCTAAATTTTTCCAAGCTCCAAATTTAGAATTTTTAGAATTTTGAGAATTCAAAGCTGAACTTGAGGAAGTTGAACTAATTCTAATTTAGAATTTTTAGAATTTTTAGAATTGAATTCTAAAAATTCTAAATTTTTCCCAGCTCCAAATTTAGAATTTTTAGAATTCAATTCTAAAAATTCTAAAAATTCTAAATTTTTCCCAGCTCCAAATTTAGAATTTTTAGAATTTTGAGAATTCAATTCTAAAAATTCTAAATTTTTCCAAGCTCCAAATTTAGAATTTTTAGAATTTTTAGAATTCAATTCTAAAAATTCCAAAAAATTTTAAATTTTTCCAAGCTCCAAATTTAGAATTTTTAGAATTCAAAGCTGGATTTGGGGAAGTTGAACTAATTCTAATTTAGAATTTTTAGAATTTTTAAAATTTTTAGAATTTTTAGAATTCAATTCTAAAAATTCTAAAAATTCTAAATTTTTCCAAGCTCCAAATTTAGAATTTTTAGAATTCAATTCTAAAAATTCTAAAAATTCTAAATTTTTCCAAGCTCCAAATTTAGAATTTTTAGAATTCAATTTAAAAATCCTAAAAATTCTAAATTTTTCCAAGTCCAAATTTAGAATTTTTAGAGTTCAATTCTAAACATTCTAAAAATCCTAAATTTTTCCAAGCTCCAAATTTAGAATTTTTAGAATTTTTAGAATTCAAAGCTGGATTTGGGGAAGTTGAACTAATTCTAATTTAGAATTTTCAGGTTTTTTAGAAATGAATTCTGAAAATTCCAAAAAATTTTAAATTTTTCCAAGCTCCAAATTTAGAATTTTTAGAATTCAAAGCTGGATTTGGGGAAGTTGAACTAATTCTAATTTAGAATTTTTAGAATTTTTAAAATTTTTAGAATTTTTAGAATTCAATTCTAAAAATTCTAAAAATTCTAAATTTTTCCAAGCTCCAAATTTAGAATTTTTAGAATTCAATTCTAAAAATTCTAAATTTTTCCAAGCTCCAAATTTAGAATTTTTAGAATTCAATTCTAAAAATTCTAAAAAGTCTAAATTTTTGCAAGCTCCAAATTTAGAATTTTTAGAGTTCAATTCTAAACATTCTAAAAATCCTAAATTTTTCCAAGCTCCAAATTTAGAATTTTTAGAATTTTTAGAATTCAAAGCTGGATTTGGGGAAGTTGAACTAATTCTAATTTAGAATTTTCAGATTTTTTAGAAATGAATTCTAAAAATCCAAAAAAGATTCTAAATTTTTCCAAGCTCCAAATTTAGAATTTTTACAATTTTTAGAATTCAAAGCTGGATTTGGGGAAGTTGAACTAATTCTAATTTAGAATTTTTAGAATTTTTAAAATTCAATTCTAAAAATTCTAAAAATTCTAAATTTTTCCCAGCTCCAAATTTAGAATTTTTAGAATTTTTAGAATTCAATTCTAAAAATTCTAAATTTTTCCAAGCTCCAAATTTAGAATTTTTAGAATTTTTAGAATTCAATTCTAAAAATTTTAAAAAATCTAAATTAGAATTAGTTCAACTTTCCCAAATCCAGCTTTGAATTCTAAAAATTCTAAAAATTCTAAATTTGGAGCTTGGAAAAATTTAGAATTTTTAAAATTGAATTCTAAAAATTCTAAATTTGGAGCTTGCAAAAATTTAGAATTTTTAGAATTTTTAGAATTGAATTCTAAAAATTCTAAAAATTCTAAATTTGGAGCTTGGAAAAATTTAGAACTTTTAGAAATTTTAGAATTGAATTCTAAAAATTCTAAAAATTCTAAATTAGAATTAGTTCAACTTCCTCAAGTTCAGCTTTGAATTCTAAAAATTCTAAATTTGGAGCT